CTTTCTTTCTTTCTTTCTTTCTTTCTTTCTTTCTTTCTTTCTTTCTTTCTTTCTTTCTTTCTTTCTTTCTTTCTTTCTCTCCTTTTTCGCTTATTTCTTTAATTATTTTTAGAAAGATGGAGAAGTCAAAGCCAGGTTATCATTAAAATCAAAGCACAGCAAATCCAGCAAACTGCATTACAAACAAAATACTGGAGTAGCAATTTCTCACAAAGTTCACATAACCACAATGACACCTGTGGACCTACCTTGATGGTGTGATTGGAGTGAGGTCTTTACCCATAGTCTGGATAACTCTTCTTCCCCAGACCCAGAGACCCACACAGATCCCAACACCTCCATAGAACAGCAGCCAGATGGGAGTCGATGCTTCCTGCATTACGGCACCTTGTTCGTAGATAAGCCAGAGCGCAACGAGGGGACCAATGGCATTGCTGGAGAAAGAGAAACGTGCCTGAGTTATAAAAATGCAGAGTTGCCTTGAAAAAAGTCTCTTATTTTTTGCACGATTTTTCTTCATCATAGGCACAGCAGTACTCTGACTTGATACTACAGTCAACACTCTACCTCACTTGGAAAGGGTACAGCAGGCAACTCTTACCATGTTTCTTTTTCAGCTGTCACTTCACTGATAACTAGAGCAAGGTTTGAAGGGAATTTCTCTTTTACAAATAGTTTCCTGAAATGTCAGAGTCAGTAGTACCTCACTATGTCTGTTCTGTGACAAAAATCAGTATTTTCAGTACCACACTGAAACTCTCAAAATTTACCAATTCAAGACCTGTTCATCTTTAAAATCCAAGTATCAAATTAGCTCATTTTGTAAAAGAGGGGAAAATAATGAACAAATTTACCATTGCAGAGAAGAATATAGAAATATAGTCTAGTTTGACAGCATGTAAAGTTCAGGATATGATCTGAGTGCAAGCTCGGAAGGTGACTCAGTCATCTTCAAATGTGTTGTAGAGTGAGTTGGACTGGATCAAAGGAGCCCATGGTGACACAGAGCTGGCATAAGCCCTTTTTGCTACCCTGCTGCTGCTATCTGGAAAAACATTGGAAGTCAGCAACACCGAAGTCCCCACTCTTAATGCAGGTCATCTGATACTGGTGGCTAGAGCCAGACTTCTGACTCTGTTCTAAAAAAGCTTCCCATTTCTAAACAGAAACTTCTAGCTAGAAGAAAAACTTGAAAGCTGGTATCCAGTTACTTTGGAGACTTAAACAGTGAAAAGCAGATAAGAATTCCAACATCCCTTTTGTTTTCAGCTCTTTTACTAAACCAAGTAGCTGCTTGCCTTGCTGAACAGCATTTATTCGCCACCCAAAAAGTATAATTAGTGAAGCAGTGCTATATTTATGTCTAAATACTCATAAGAAGAGCAGAACAAACCTGACAAATGTCATTCAAAAAATCTGAAAACCATCAGGGAAGCCCCCCTTTTTGTAAACCAATAGGAAAGCAGGTCACAGCAAGCACCACAGGCAGGACTGACAGCCATGCTTGCCCTGAAGCCAGGACCTGCTAATTTTAGTTCCTGGTTCCACTCCAAAGCACACAGATGAAGTAAGGGCCAGTTTAATGTCAAATGTTGTGCAAACCAGGCCACTCTATATGCCAGTTAATAATTTCCTTGAATCCCATCTTTACCAGATATGAAGTGCTAGGGGGCTGAGTAGTGATTGCCAAGAGACGAGGGTCACCAGCAGTGCAAAGCTCTGCAACATCTCAGCAACATAAGACCCTCCTGCTTTCATCTTGGCCTTGAGAAATTGAGCTCTGAACACTGATAAGTGATCCTGAAGCAAAGTAATAAGGAAAAACTTTTCCCTCATAAACACACACAGCAACATTCAAGCTGTAAGGGAAATTAAAATAGTTAAAAATGCTCTCTGATGTGAAAAAGAATGAATAATTCTTATTAATTTCGAGAAAGAGCCTGAAAATAAATTAGTGAGCTAACATGAATAATAAAATCCAGTGGGTTTGAAGACACTGAGTAGTACAATGAAGAACTAAAGACTATTTAAATAAAGAGTGATTTCACTGTTCTAAAACACTTTAAAATCCTCATCTGATACTGTGCCCAAGTAAGCATTCAACTTGTTGAGTTTTGGAAGGACTGTATGTGGAAAGTCCTTAAGGCTTAAATGCAAGGATTATTTTACTTCCATTGAAGAAGAGATTCTTGATTGAAGCATTTCTGCTATTTTGAAATCAACCTAATACTGCTTTTCCAGTGTTTTCAGGTGTGGATTAAATTACTTGCATATTTAAATGCTTTCTTGGGCATAGAAAAAGAAAGGTAATTCGATGTACGAAGGCACACAAAGAAACTGATGGATGCTGAAGGATGGATAAAGGCAAATAATATATTGATCAGATGAATAAAGGCAAAACTGATCATCCCTTTTATAGTGCTGTATGACATAGAAAAAAAATTCCCTGTTAAAATACCAGCCACATTTGGAGTGAGCTCAGGCTGTTCTAAAGAGATTATGCATACATATTTGTCAGTCCCAACGTAAATGAAAACACAGAAAAGGCTTCAAAAACTGCAGCAGCAAACTATGTTTTTCCATATCAAAATCCAGTTTTAATTATTTGCAAATGCTACACCTCTGTGAATCAACAAAGCTTAATCCTTGAGGAAAAGATTCTTATTTGTGGCACAGGAAGACAAGGCAAAATTCTGATGAGGCTTATGCTCAGTCTCAGAGAATCTGAGTGGCTGTTTCTGTCCAACAGATCAGAAGAGGTAACATTGCTGCTCACAGAGGCAGCATTTCTGATGCCTCCTCTGTAAGAAAAGAAAGCCAAACAGCACTGGATCCATATAGGCTTCTGTCTTTGGTTGCAATACATGATGTGACCAAAAGTAGGTATTCTATCACCATCTGTTGAAACCAGGTGGGGCAGTGATCCTTATCTCTGTGGGAGATATCCCCTGCTAATGGGCCATCTGTTAAAACCAGTCATCTTTATCTTTTCCACAACCCATCCTTCCTCCAGGAAGACATCATCTATTAATGGGCCATTGAGTCCCCTTGAATGACTGATAAAATTACATCATTCCATTGGGAGATGCTCCAGCGAGGGGGAGGAGCCAAGCCTTTCCTACCTAGATAAAAACTGAGATTTGGAACACCAAGGCAACCTTTTTCCACTGGATTCCAGGGGAAAAAGTGGGCCTTTCCAGATCATCACTGGACCTTTGGAGGAAAATTGCACCCCTCTACAGGACCACTGCTTCAACTGAACCACATCTGTCATCCAGGAGGACTGCAGCCACTATTTATACAGACTGCTACCAACACCCTGACTGACAGGGTGTCAGGTTGTATTCTGACTCTGTCAGTGTCTTTGGGTTTGTTCTCTGTAATACTGTATTTCTATTTTAATTTTCCTAGTAAAGAACTGTTATTACTATTCCCACATCTTTGCCTGAGAGCCCCTTAATTTCAAAATTATAATAATTTGGAGGGAGGGTGTTTACATTCTCCATTTTAAAAAGATGCTCCTGCCTTTCTTGGCAGACACCTGTCTTTCAAACCAAGACAGCTTGGAAAGGCGAAAAGGTAACTAACCTAATTTTCCTTTGTGGGTGTCTGCATCACTGGTTATCTATATCAGAGAGACATTTCTCTCCCAGTAAATCATGTTCAGTGTGACTTAAATGTTCAGCTCTTAGGGATAGTGGCATCCCTCAACCTGAATATCTACAAGTGGCTACAAACAGTAACAACAGTGGCTTGAATCTAGCACCATCACAGCTCTCCAAGGAGCTCCTTCAGCTTCTGGATTTGTTCAGGAGGTCCAGTCCAAGGGGCTTGTGGTATCAATGCTCCCTATGCCAATGGAAAAGCTCTAGAAAAAGCTGCTAGGCCTGTCCCAACATGGAACTGCCAAAAGCTCACAGCAAATGGGTCTGACTCAGGCACTGCAAAGACTATGATCTTGGTTCTGCACAGAGGTAGAAGACAACCACTCCCAATAGCACAGTAAGAGAGTGTAAAAGAAAAACAACACATAAAAACCCCAGCAACAAAAAAAGGCATTGTTAGATAAGAGTTTGCTTAACAGATGTTTCCTACAGCTAAGTGACTAACCAGATGAACCACAAGGATGCTGGCTAGACTGGGATATGGCTTTCACAGTATTTCCCACTGGTTCTAGCTCATTTGATTGAAGACATGACTAGCAAGAAAGCAGACCTCAAATCTTCCATGCATTTGGCTAAGATTCATTTCACAAGTCTATTTTCAAGAAGGTATTTTCTCTTACTCTCCCACACAGGTTTCTACTTACCTTAACTAACTCTCGTCTGTGCTGTAGCTTCACATCTTATCTGTAGTAGTTTAGAGAATAAAAAAGCCTGAGATGGTCACATTCAGGAGCCCTGAATCTATACGTAAAACTGCCCTCAGGTTCCTATGAAACTGAAGCACTTTAGAGGATTTGCTGTATTATCTTGCTATTGGGTTTAAAACAGAAAATAAGCTGTTCCTGTCATGGTATTACTTTGATTTGGCACACCTAGTACACACTTTCCCACTGAGCACAAGGGGGTGGCCAATACGAGTTAATTTTAGAATGAATTTATAAAATGCTATGGTGTAAGAAGCCCATCTCCTGAGTCTGCCTGCTGCAAAGTGTATTCTCCACATCCAGTACTTTCCCCCACCTCTGCCAGGCTGTGCCAGCCCTATTACTCACAGGGCACAAGGCTTTGCAGCTGGGGTGCTGCACAGGGGCTGTTTGCCTTCTCTGGAGGTGCAGTCAGGATTTAATGCCACCCACAGCAATATTTGCACTGGCAGATGTGTTCCAAGGTGGCTCACTGAAGGACTGCTCCATGTTTCTGAAGCCTGATCCCCGTGATGATTTTGCCGGCACTCTCGACTAATGTGAATTGGCACAACTTTGCTTTTTCTGCTCACTTGTGCCAGTTTAGAATCTGTCACACAGCATTTATAAAACCATAGTGAAAGATAGCATTTGACAGTGAATGTGAACTATAAATAGAGCTGGCTTCTCCTCTCCCCCGTGAGACAGATAGTATTACCAACAAAAATAACCACCCCACATTCAGCTATCATGAGACAGGCCTAGAAATGACAGTTTCCCATGCACACGCACACACACACGCAAGCTGAAATTTTTAAGTACCTTTGGGTCAGAAGTCCAAGACCTTTTCTGGAGGAGTAAAGACTAACACTTTATTTTTTAGTAGAAAATAAGGGGCTTCTTCCCAGTAATTCAGCCATCAGCTGAATGCTCTATGGCCAAACCCCATCAAACTTGTCATAACATGTTATGAAGTAGCAACATTGCTATTTCCTTGCTGTTGTTTGAGGGTAGTAGTGAGATGCCCAAAAAGAAAATCTAACTGTATTTGAAAACTGCACTCTCAATATGCTTTGTGAATAATTT